TCCCTGCAGCAGGGTTTTTGTGGGGAATAACTTTTTTCTAGGTGGGTATCACACACATCGGGACACTCTCTGGGTTTAAGTCCTGGACCCCGCTGTGCCGGCAGAGCTCACCCCTCCTGCGGAGCGCCGGGGAGCAGGCAGGTTTGCCGGGCAAAGGGCTGAGCTCTCACCGAGGACATGTCAAAGGCAAATGCTTGTTTATGCAACACCACCGATCTCTGATTACAGAGGACAACATTTGACCCAGGCTCCTTGAATCGGACACTTCCCTGCTCAGCCTGAACAAAAAAAATCCCAACAGCAGCCCAGCAAAAGGCTTGGCAGAAAACGAGCCCAGATTTCAACAGGCAGAAGGTGGGCAGCGGTGCGGCTTTAGTTACTTTCAGTCTTTTTCAGAGCTGCTCCAGGCACGCTGGGGAGCAGCTGGGTCCCTGGTGCACGCTCCGGCTGTGCCTCCGCGCTCCCCTCCTCCTGTGCCCCTGAGCTGATTGATGCACTCGGGGATCTCGCAATGAAAGAATGCGCAGAGAGCTGCCATTCAGCATCAAAAAGCCTAGAAAGGGCTTTGGGCAGCAGATAAAGATGCATGCCTAAGCTAATCCAGCTTGTACACCAGGTATCATGAACCCACCAGAAGAAAACTGACAAGCAAAATAAAAATAGTAGATGAGTCACCTATTAAAAGGCTGGCAGGGGGATCTGGTCGTGGCGCGGGTAGCATTGACTCCTCACAAAACGCTTCCATGGCATAAGAGCTGTATTTTTATCTTGGCTACGAGCAACTCAAATTTGAGATGATCTTGGCTCTGCCTGCTGGCCCAAACGCCAGCCATGGGCCACAGCACACAGGAGCAGGCCAGGCTGGCCGTGGCATGGGCTATGCCAGCCTGAAAAATGGGCCACAGGCCACAGCATGCAGGTCTAGACGGACCACGCTGATCCGGACGAGCCGGAGGGAAGAAGGCTGCCATCATCTGACTTCACCAAGCCTTTGAACCTGGATGACTCCTGAGCTAATCAGCAACTGAACAGGACACCCATTCCTCCCCAACAGCCCTGTTTCACAAGCAGCAGCAATTTGGGTGTGTTTATAGAAACTAATGAAGGGATGAGTTCAAAAAGGAGCGGCTTTGACAGAGCATCAAAATTGGCCCACAGATTGTTTTCCTCTCGGAGGTGGCGTGTTATGATAAAAGCAGGAGGGGAGAGCAGTAGGACCAGGCCTGTGCCCCCCCTTGGCATCGCCACTCCAGGAAGGGAGGGTTGGGCTGGGTCACAAGGACCCCGGCAGGCTGCAGCTCAAACCCTCCTAACTCCATACAGATGGAGTTTGGGACTGAAAACTAGCACCTGCTGATTTAGCTAAGGTCCTTAAATCAGGTCAGCTGGAAGATGAGCACAGGTGGGGGTTAAACACATGAGCTGGACATCCCCATCCCAGGGAGCAGGGTTACAGCTCCCTGCTGCAGTCACCAGTCTCTTGACAGAGCCAAAACAGGATCTCCAGTGAATCAACCCTGGCTGCCTTTATCATGACAGGCCCAGAGCATCCTCCGCATACCTGAACATTTCGGTCCTGTGATCTCTCACCCTTCCTCCTCTGCCAGCTCAGTCACCCCTGGAAGGACAGCGGAACTGCCCCTGTGCCTGGCTCAGATCACCCATCGCTTCTTTCTCAGGCTTTGTTAATGCCATTCCTGGGCTTAGGTAAGAGATCTGGCAGCCGACTACATAACACCTTCACACCCCAGCAGGACACGGGATTTCTACAATCCCACACAGTAAATCCCCTACTGCCCAAGCCAGAACCCAACAGTCAGCATGGGGAAGGAGAGGGCAGGACACCCACAGCCCCACATTAGTCATCAGACCAATTCCCAGCCTTAATTTGTCAGGTTTAGAGGGTCAGGTTTAGAGTCAGCATGTTGACTAAGCAGCTTTTTTCTAAACCTCCTCCTTGACACAGCTGGATATGAAGAGTCATCCGCACTTTAACCAAGCCCACAGCATTCACAGTGTGGGATTTAGGCTGCAATCCCAACCCTCACCCTCTTTGCAAGCATACAACAGTTCCCAGCAAGAAAACAAGGCTCATTTATACTGCTACATTTTTATTAAAGTAACAAAAGCATATGTCTGTCAAAGGATCTGTACATTCTGTATATAAAAACACTACTATACAATTAGTAACCATCCACTCCCTCCTCCAAGTGTAGCTTACAAACTTTCTACCATTTCCACCAAATACAAAAAGCAGGTCCCGTTCAACAGTCCAGCTTGTTAAAAAACCCCAAAATTACAAGAAACCCCTCAAATACACTGTCTTAAAATACACACCATTCAGCTCTGCAGTTGAGTATCAGGCTTGTAGGCAGAAGGCAACAGAGCACACTAATTCACAGCTTTTACATGTAACCAGCTACAAGAGAGAAATGGATTATACCCAAGTTTGGTTGGTTTTGAAGCTAAAAACCAGACACCTTTAACATCAGACTCCTCCACACCAGGGACAAAAAGAATGAGACTCAGCTATTTTGGTTCTGGAAGTGGGGGCATGTTAAGAGCAATTATAGTGTATTCCTTTGGTGTGGGCTGCTGTTCCTGAAAAACTTTTCTGGTAAGAGGGAGGGAACAGAATAAAGAGGGGGGGTTAAATCTTAAGACTGCTTTGATCATGACAAATTACAACCCAAGGAAGTACCAGCCTTCAGGAAACTCCACATCCAGCCAAGGAGTCCAGCAAATCTAACACTGCTCATCCTGGATGCAGTTCTCATCATGGGCTTTCCACATAAGCAGGTCAAGTGAGGACTCCAAAAAGCACCGAGATCCCTTTTCCTTGAAAAGGGAATTTGCTTTTTGGAAGTTCCCAAGTACTCCCCTCTTGGTGAGGTCACCTATTGCACAAGTTCACCAAGGGAAAAGCCCCAGTGCTTCACTTCAGCTTCTGCTTTGCTAACATGAGAAATTCAAGTGATGCAACTTCAGAGACACAGTCTGCTATTACTGTTCAAGGACAAACAACTCACCACTTGACATTTTAAAAGGATCTAAGAATTGAGGCTGGTTTTCCAGTTCTGGAATTCATTATTTGAAGCTTACAAAAATTCAACTTACTTTTTCCCACATTAGCATTGAGAGTTGGGGAGCTGTGCTGAATTTTTAATATATTAAAAAAGCCAAGCTAAGAACTGTGGCAGATGGGAGGCTTCCTTCCTCTCCCAGAGGACCCAAGATTTGGAAATATATTGCACAAATGACTGAGAACTTGATTCATCAAAGGCTGGGCAAGAACAACTCTGGTTATGCCAGTCAGCTGCCAGGTCAGAAAAGAGGAAGGTAAAAAAAAAAAGTGTGCTGAGAGACAAATCTGGGAAAAATTTCATTAAAAACAACCATGTCAATACACTGCTTTTTCAATCGCTTCTCCCAGGATCACCAGAGGAGCACCAGCTGGTTAGTAAAAAGGCAATGGACATACAACATCCTAGTAAAGGCTCATTCCCAGCAGGTAGGTAAAGTTCTTGGGGCAGCAATTTCAGCTCCCACCCCATTTGTAGTTAGCCAGAGCAGTTTAAGGGCCAAATCCTGAACAACACTTGGGCAAAGTCTCCCTGAATACAAGTACCACTGGGACACCACGAGGAGTTTTGCTTCAATAGACAGATCACAGGACCAGGCATTAATTGTGCAAAATAGTTATGTACCAAGAGATCTGAACCTAACAACGCCCCTTACCAAGGTATCAGTGGAGACAGCTCCCAGGGACAGCCACATGCTGATCACCCAGAGGAGGAAGAGAGGGAAGAAGTGCTGTGACTTTAAAAGCAAAGTTATGCCACTAAAGCATCTGAGCATCCCACACACAGGGGGAAGAGACCCCCAGTACTTCTGATTTTAAGAGACAGGGCAAAGTTCTCACACACCAACCTCCACAGCACAAGGCGAGTTGCTTCAGCTCTTCCGGAAAAGTGACACAGCAAGTCGTCAGCACTGGATTAGGCAACTTGCGCAAGCAAGAGGCCAGACTCCACTCTTGGAGCACGGAGAGGCCACACAAGAGCAGATCATGGGCTGCTAAGCCACACATAACAGAAAGGCTTTGTAATTCACAGCTGTTGAGTGCTGGTTTCAGGGTCCAGAGCACCCTTCTCAGTGTACAGCAAGCCATGGGCGATAGCCAGGTACTGGGGAGCACCAGGAACAGCACTCCAGTGCCACCACAGTAGCTGCAATATTCATCTTGGGGACCTTCTCTGCACAGCCTGACCCCCAGCACATCCCTGCCTTGCTCCGTTTCACAGGGCACCAATGCCTACATGGCCCCTTCTGCAGCAAGCAGCAGAGGGGGAGGTGTTGGAGAAAGGCCATGCTCCCCCTCGCTTTGTGCCGAGAGCAGGGCAGAGCAGAGCTGCACCACTCATGGAGTAAATGGGTCCAGAGAAGATGTGTGAGAGCAAAGGTGAGCGATCCCAGGGTCCCCAGCATCACCCAGCCCTGATGCAAGGTTCCCCCAAACACTATATCCAGGCCCCAGAGAGATCAGACCAGCTGGGGAGTGAAGAAATTCATGGAGACAGCAACTCCTTTGTCCCTTCTCCAACAGTATTGCAATACTTGGCAATACAACAATACTGTTGGGTACCAGGATGGTGAAGAAGGTGACACAGACATCTCCCACCACCAAGCCACACTTCCCAGCCTGGCTTTTCCCGCCTCTTCCTACATTCCAAGCTGCCCAAGTGAGCAAGCCAGCCCAAAATTGCCATCCAACACTAATTAGGTAGATATCAGCTTCATAATAAAAACTCATAAGCTTGCAACAGCTTTAAAAAAGGCACCTAGAACACCGCTTCTGTTCAAAGCGGCGCCCAATATTTTAATTTTGGATTTTCTTGGATTTTTTTAAAAAATATAAATAGCTCTTCATCTTAAAAATAGATCCTCAGGTGAGGTATACAGTAGCCTGTGTCTTGGCAGTGTAAGGACAAGAGGAGTATTTAGCTGGAGACAGTCATGATGTAGTTTTTGGAAGGACTGGTGCGACCTAACATCATCTGGTTCTTACAGGTAAGCATCCCATAGGAGCTCACAGGTTTCGTTGCAGTAGCTTCATATAAGACACAGATGGAGCCATCCTCACCGATTCGGTACGAGACCTCATAGGGGTCCACCCAGAGCGTGAGCTCGCTGGGCAGGAGCTGGTAGAGCTGCGGTAGGCTGAGTCCGATCTGGCTAGCTGCCTTGCTGATAATGGGGTCCATTTTGTGATTGATCCGGATGCAGCGATACCCAGAGCCTTTGAACGGTTTCTCAGGAAACCAGTGATGTTTGTAGTGCTCTGCAAGGGAAGCGAGAAGGGAAGGGTGGTGAGCAGGCACGCAGCAGCTGTGAGGAGGTCTGCATCCTGCTGCAGTCCCGAGGGGGTCCCACACCTCACTGCAGGCGGAGGAAACAGAATCCTCCTTCGGCTGCCTCCCTCAGACGGAGGCTCCAGAGCCAAGCGGTATTCAGCCACCGCTTGCTCCAAGGCGCAAGAGCGCAGCTCTTCAGGTCCTAGAAACCCCAGGCAGGACAGTGCCACAGGGGCCACAGTGACAGCACCCCAACACCTTCTCACCCTGACTGCTGGGGTGGCCAGGGTAGATACCGTATCACCAACAACAAAACACCACGGTCGGGGAGTAACATCCCCAGGTCATTCTCTTAAGTTCAGGGGCATGTCGCGACCCCTTATCTCAGCACAGCGGCAAACAAACCATCCCTTCTTAGGGCTGATAACACAAGGCTATGTGGGGCTGGGAGGAGACCCCTGAACCACCCAGTTAGTGCCACACTTGCCAGGAGGGGGGTGCCAAACCCCACCGACACAGAGCTGAGCACCTTTTGCCAGGGGACGGGGCACACAGACTAGCTTTGGATCATCTATCTTAAGCCCCAGCAAGGGAGGATTCAAGCAGATGGGCCACACAAAACTCTGAGCAGAGACTAGGCAGGGGATGTGCTCCCTTTCAGGGCTGAGGCAGCTGTCTGCCCAGGACCCCACAGGGACACAGGTGGGTGCCCAGGGAGGCACACAGATGCCTGCCAGTCCCCAGAGGGATACAGGGGGGCACCCAGGCAAGGGCACAAACACGTATGTGGCATCAAGGAGGACACAGCTGGGTGCCTGACCCAAGAGGACACAGGTGGGCACCCAAGGAGGGACACCAGGTCCCAGGAGTAACACGGGGGGTACCGGGGAAGGACACCAGTGGGCGCCCGGCCCCAAGGGGGAGAGGAAGAAGATGGACGTGAGTGGGCTTT